ACGCTGCTAAAACACTTACCTACTACAAAAGTCAAGGCAAAAATTTTAAGGAGGACACAAGGATGAAAAACACAAAACGTTACTCTGATGAGATGAAAGTAGGAAGTAGACTTCTGTATCACCGAGTCTGCTAGACATAAATCAGCTTAGCTTTTGTTGATGTTGGAGCTGTATCCCACTCCTCCAGCCCAGTCAATAAAACACTGCTTTATGACAATTGGGATACATTATCTTTTCCACTGGCATGTCACCAAAGCCAATTTATATACTATCTCAGTAAATCATCTGATTTAGTGATTCACACAGATGTGTATTAATTCAAAAGAACATAATGCAATATAAAGTCATTTCTTTTGAAGTCTCTGCCTTTTCAGGCTTTGAGGTTTTTATTACTGTGGGGTGGCAGATGTGATGATAGGGGAGAATAAAAACAAAATATATCTCAGGAATTTCTGAGCGGATCAAAAAGTACGGAGTGTCCCGATTATATCCTACAACCCAAAAGACAAAGCAGCAATATAAAATAATAAATTAGGTTAAGTGAAGGAGTGAGGGAAACGAAAGAAAAGAAACAAGTGCATGTATTAAAGGGACTTTAGAGGATACTTGATACGTTTACATAAGAAGAGATGAGAGGAAATGTTGAAATGTATAAAAGCGCTCATGGGCAGATTAGCCTTTTCAGTGAGCCTGGCTGACCCAATTAAAGATATAGGTGACAAAGCACACCTGAGTTTCTGTGTGTGCTTTGTATCTGTGCTGATATCTGATACCCTGAGGGCACAAGATACATTTTTCAGTGAGCTTTCTCCGCAGCCATCTCTTAATTTCTGCCTTATAATCCACACTCCACCTGATTTGATGTGTGTCTAAGGATGTAACTGATTTAACAAGAACTATGCTGTTCAGCTATGAGAAGTCTGGAACATGTTCAATCAAAAGACATCTCATTAACTAAAGTATTCAAAAATTGTTTATTTTGTCTCGTCAATCCTAATTCAAGTTACCTATTTATGAATCCACAAACCACAGAATCAACAAACTTGCTTCTAATTTATTCTCAGGATAGTAGTTTCCTGTGAAAATCTATGAGATTGTCCACTTTAAACAGCCGTCTCCTGCAGCTGAAATACAAGGTCACCTGCAGAAGAAGCCATCCTTTCACCTAAATCAGCCTGGTTGTTTCTGCGTACTGTTGCTCACAGACGGACAAGTAAACAAGCGCTTCTGGTCCCATCATGAACCCTTAGCCTTGGCCTTTATCTTGGAAAAATAAATAAATAAAAGCAAGGACGCAAAGCAGAAAACAGCGATGGTTCACATCTAAACAGAGATCCACCAGAAAATATTAAATTTAGTTGTTTTTCCTCACTGGAATCCAAATCTCCTATTTAACCAATTAGGCCAATGCTTCTTTTTAGTCATTAGGAACTGGTTTGTTTGCTTTTAGCCTGAAAACATTGCAGTTAACACTAAAACACAATATACCGATTTTAAAAAAAAGGTTTCCTACCCGTCACCATTTTTCCAACAACTTTTTGGAGATCTGACAAACTTGTAACAATTAACAACCAGCCTATACAACATATGATATGGGTAGGCCTGTCACAATAACAAATTTTGCTGGGCGATTAATTGTCTCAGAAATTATTGCGATAACCGATAATATTGTTTGAAATTTGACAATAATTAGTAATTATTGTCAAGTTTAAGAACAAATGTTTATTAGTTTTGCATGTATTATCTTTTTTGACCACCGGATGGCAGTATAAGACTCGTTGAACCGAAGGATGGATAGTGAGGGAGCGAGCAGCATATCTTTAAGAAAAATGGGAGGGAGGCCCCTTGGCGTGACATGGGCTGTCTTACTTCGGTTCTCAAAATGGCGGATGCTCGGTGTAGTTTGAGCTCTTTAACATAGTATTTTTCACACAAAGCTTTTAATAAAAAGTCATTAAACAAGTTCTCAGCTTCTTTTTGCAGAGAAAGACAACTTTTTGCACGAAGGCACGGGTTTCAACGGTGAATTTTGGAGCTTTGACAAGATGGCGTTTTTTCCAAAGTTTGGCCTTTTAGCTTAGCTTCTCAGATTAGCTGCTTTTAACGATTTAACGCTTTTTTGGACTGTTAAAACAGATTTTTAAGAGAAAGGGAGGGGTCAGTGAAGAACACCGGAGTTGAGCTTTTTGTCATCCAGTGTCTTCAGTAGAAAGAGAGAGACGAAGAAACAACAAAGCTGATAAATGAAAATGAGGTGGATAATTTTCATTTATCATGCGATTAATTGATTTATTGTTTATTGCGACACATGGGTAAGGAATATGTTGCTACATGGGTGATTCATTCTTCTTTTGCATTTCCAACAGAGAAATCAGCAGCAAACTGCTCAATATCTCATCACAAGAGGAAATGTCAGAGCGCAAAGCTTCCAGTCATACAACCTACAGTTCTTCCAGCTGACATTCTGTTGCCGTCATAACCAAATGAGGGCCGGGAGGAGGTGGGTGGCCTCAGACTGCTCAGCTTTGCTTTAAGCTGGGAAAGTCCGATCCGAGTTCTAACTCTGACGGAATGCAGTCACCCCCGTCGCCCCCGAGATCGAAGCAGCAGGAGGAAGGCTGGGAGCGTCGCGGATAAACCGGAAGAGCCCTGCATGACTCATTGGAATCAGGTGTTCCAACGATAACACGGGATTTAGGGAATGTCCATGAAAGCAGTTGATGCAATCAGATTTCTCGAGAACGCAGATAAATTTCTGTTTCACTGCTCGTTTTTATTCGTCGTTCGGGTTGAGTTTCCACACGTATCAACACAACCCTGTAAGTGGTAGAACACCATTGTTCGCTACGACCGAACAAGAAGACAGTCTCTTCTGCACAGATGAATCGCTGGCTTTAACGTGGACGTGAGTGGCAAAGAATTATGCTCTGATCCTTCACCATAAATAAGATTTATTAAGACGCTGATAAATGCAAATTTCATATTATAGCAGCATTTCCTCTACAGGGCACTTTCTGAATGAATCAATACTGGTCTTGGTGGTCATTAGAGCACTGATGGATCAGAGCCAGGCTGCCCTTTTAATGGGAGGATTTTCCATCAACATGACTTTGGATCACTCTTATTCATCATAATAGGTAAAGACATGGGTTTGTGGAAACCTTCGTTTCCCTGCAGCATCATTTAGGTGACGGATTGTTAATATGGCCTGTCACTCCTCTACACAGTCAGTCATCTGTTTAACAGAATTCATCCTCTGAAGTTCCCCCTTTCATTAATGCAGCACTCATCCACACTCCAAGAAAGCGGCCTCGTGAAAACGTAAAGTGACCTTGGATTAATAGTCTTTTCTGTTTAACGCACACTCATCTTCCAGCCTTTCTCTCTCGTTCCATAACAAAATGAAAAAAGAAACAGACCACTAAGAATAAATACTGACTGCCTCTTCTTAAAATCACTGTGACACGTGACACTGACAGATCCACGCTGCCAAACAGATTTTCTCCTCTACCCCAAGAAACATTTATCTTTCTCTCCATTTGTTCCTGCATGGATCAAATAGTAAAAAGATGTGAGCCAGATGCTAGACTGACTGTTGACAGCACTTCGTTACCCAACACTGCCACTGAGTCACCCACAGTTTTCTGGCAACACAACCTGTTTTATAATAAATCACACATTTGGCATCACAGTGGAGAAACTTGAGCCAACATTAACGAAAAAAGCAAAGACAGACAAATAAATACGCTTTTCAGTTAAATGTTGACAAGTTTAGCTTCCTAATTACAAAAAATGTTTTTCAGAACAATGATTTTAATAAATAAACGAGTCTATAAAACCTTTCTTTAAATGAGAGCTAACCAGTTTTTGAAGGTAAATGACCTAAACATGAAGCAACACTGCCACCTGGAGGAAATGACAAGTCTACAAAAAATATGTCAGTTCTCAAGAAACATAAAATTTTAAGCACAAATGTAGAAAACATTAAATATTCTGTTGAAATTATTATGCTAACACTCCATAAAATTCAAGGTAGGATGAATCTGTTGGACTAAACTTTTATCCCATAATAAGAAACGGTTTCATACTTTGTGCACTTTGATCTTTTAGATCATATTCATTCTAGTCTCTGCCTTTTTATACAAAGTTTACAGTTACTTAAGTATATTCAACAAAGTTCAGTCACGTCATCTGAATGTTTTTTTTTTTTTGTTGAGATGTTTCGACCTTCATCCAAAGGACTTCGTCAGTTCGAGGAGCCACAACAAACTCAGTCCCACAAGCAGCACATTTGCATAGTGTGCCAACCAGTTTGCTAATGATAAGATGGTTTCTGGAGCCCGCCCTCTAACCCGTCGACTCCTCTGAGGCAACCATAGCCAAAGTGGTTCAAAACATCAAAGTTCATGCTCAGTAATCCAGGTAAAAAAAATCCAACTGGACGGTTTCTTTTGTTGTTGAAACATTTTGTCCTTCATCCAAAGGACTTCATCAGTCCTATTACTCATCAAGTCATACTTTACTAAAATATACTTGAACCTCTTCTTTAAGTAAAGTGATTACAAATTGCTTATCAGTGTTTTTAAGAAGTGAATCCATCCACAGAACAAAAGAGAACTGAGAGCAAGCGTACATTAAATCAGAGCACATCTGTGCTTCAGGGATCAAAGAAACTAAATTAATCCTGTTGATCATGAACGTGTTCACAAAGACAATATACTCCTCCGAGCACAACTCCTTCACTACTGCCATTTCTCTCAGCTTTCAAAAAGAAGATATTTGATAGTAGCTGTTAATGTTAGACCAAAGTTGGGTACAGAACTTGCTTTCATCACTCAAGTCACAAAATACTCCTGATTTTAATAAGGAATGGGTCCTATCCTTCTTAAAATGATCATAAATCGCACAATGCTAAAAAATTAAAAATTAAAAAGCTGGACACGGTTTTGAATCCAAAATGAAGAAGAGGCAGCTGGATAAGATCAGTCACTGGTGCTTACCTTTGGTTAATCATCCCTCTGAAGTTATAATTAGCTCTGTAGTTTGGCATTGGTTTGGGATCCAAAGGCCTGTATATCGCTGGTTCCCCTCTCTTCATAGCCAGACCATTCAGCTCCACTGTGGGTGTTATACTGCCTGTGTGAGTAAAGGTGGTAACTTGAACAAGGATCGGCAAGGAACTACTTTGGAGTGAGTAAAAAAAACATAAACAGCAAACCAAACCCACTGAGACCCGTTCCAACACCTACAAAAGTTAGAGCAAATCGTGAACACTAAAAACAGGACCGCAAGATCTACAAGCAAAAATAATAAAACATTCTCATTGTTCGCTTGGAAGTTAAATGTAACTGTGGGAAAAGTGTTAAATAAAATAAAAACTCTAATTTTAATTATGTTTACATTCTCTAAGTCACTGTGTCAAAAAATGACTTTGCTTTGGTAACATTTAGTCTCTAGTTTGGTATGTGAAGTGTTTATTTTATTATTATTTATAATAAATAAGAAATGTGCATGCTAGAATAAAAACATACTTTTCCATCAGCTTCTGGTTATTCAAAAACAAGTAGGAAAAAAAGCGCATTTTTAAAGTACCAAAACAATAAAGACCAATCTGTGCACCAAAACCCAACAAATATAAATATATAGAGGCTCAGTATTATCATTATAATAAAGTATATTTTATTATAAGACAATAAGTCTATTTTTATTGTAAAAGAACAAATTTCATTTGGTTCAAAATCCAAATTTTGAGCAAGTATACCTTGAGTCTTTTGATTTGTAATGATTGATTTTGCTTTTATTAGAGGTTTAATATTCTTCTTTGAAGTGATATTTCAGCTTTGTGATAATCTTTTATTTTTTTAAGTTGAAGTGGCTAACATGACTGAGTGTAATGTTTCAACAAGTATTATTAATTTTATTCAACTTTATACAGTCAAATTTTCAAACAATTTTTTTTTATCTCGTTATCGTCCACTGAAAATTCATCATCATCCACCTGTTCTTAGATTTGAAGCTGCCTTTTTCCTTTTTATCTACATTCACACGCTGGCGCACATCGTAAATAAATTGGGAACAAGAATCAGCGTATCAGCTGGTCCATACACTGAGTGTTGATAAAATTTATCTCGAAATATTAAAAACTACGGATGCACAACATATCGGCATGGTATCGGTATCGCTCAATATTATCGATAAAGTTAAATATCGAACATTGAACATTCCACCAAAATAACTCACCAATATAAAAGGTCTTGT